TTATATGATAGTATCTTGAAAAGTTGTTGAAGCGAGCTATGAGAATATATGTAATTAAAAATAGGGGTTTTTATTAAAAAAATTTATAGTGACCTTGTTATGACATTAATTACGCTACTCAAAGGCAAATTAATGGTACTTCTTATGTCTGCTTCCGAATCATATAACTTTTGTTTGAAACATTTCTCCGTAATCTATCATAGATTTCAAGAAATCTTAATACATTATTTAAAATGGAACACCCTGTATATATGGAATATATATGTATACAAGGTGTCTGCGAAAAACCATGTTTAAGAGGAGATCTTTAAGACTATTTTAAAAGTCTTAATGCCAAAATATCGAGGGTTATAAATAGATTTTTAATTATAATATTTAACATTCTCGAATCAAATCGCCTAAAGTTAACGCATTTAGATGTGATTGGCATTTATCTGCCATATTTAAACACGTGAACTTTAGACGATATATGATTCGCTAATTTTAAATACTTATACTTATTTTAAAAAATAATAAAATATTATAGTCTTTTAACATTTTGGTATTAGGATTTTTGTCTTAAGATGAGATTTCAGAAAAAATTTTAAACATTGTTATTATATATATAGTGTTTTGGACAATATCTGGTCTCGGTCTCGTCTCGTTGTCGACTGAAATCGAGACAAAACTTTGTTTTTAAATCAAGATCAAGATCGAGACTATTATTCCGAGAGTCTCGGCGAAAGACTTCTTGAATACCTGGACTAGTCATCAAACCTTCATTATAAAGCTTATGTATAAAGGTTATACGTTCCCGTCGCCCGCGCCGTACGCGGAAATCTCGCACATCACTCTGTGGGACTGATCTGTCGAAGGTTTTCTAATCAAAGACTGATTACAAACTGAACACGAAAGAGTCATTAAAACAGATTTTTTTAGACAAATGGCATTTAAAGATGCTTTGCCTATATAATATCAACTAAAATATCAATCAAATATTCAGCCAAAAATAGTAAATATCAGCTAATCTTATTTTTAAAAATTTGACAATATTAGTAAAGCAACTACAAAAAATAAAACACAATAAATGAAGACATGATCAGGCAAAATCGAGATGATATCGAGAGTTTCGAAATCAGATTGATTATGAGTCCGAGATTTCCGAGGCCAAAGATATAATAGTCTCGTCTCGTTGAGACGAGACCGAAACACTGTAGTCGTTATGGTTTTTACCGGACACCCTGTGTATACACACGCGAGTACATTTCCGTATAAATAATATGTGATTGAAATTATTCAGTTTCCGATAAAATCGCTGATACTTTTGTGGTCAATAGTCATTTAAACTATTTAAATAATGATAATTATTAATCGACAAAAAGAGTTGAATATTGGGATGCATGGGAAATGTGGGATAAATAATGTTTTGCACTTTAAAAATTTGACCTTTGCATTTAATTATATAACAAAAAAAAATTAATTAAATTTTACATTTAATTTTACATGAGAATATATTGAAATATAATAGTAAAATACACATACATATATACAAATTTAAAAAGAAATTGATACTGTATAAAGAAATTATTTAATTCCGTTCAATTATAAATGAAAAATGTACTTTAAAAAAAAACATGTATTTAAAGAATAATTGAAAAAAATCGAATTTTGAACACGTTCTCCAAATTTAAAAAAAAATAGCTACAAATTTACGATATGCATATATAAACAAAAAAAAACAGATTTTGATCAAAGTATTTATTTTGAGGGAAATAAAAAGTGTTAAAAATACTAATTAATATAAGGCTATGATAATATACGTAGCTAATGAGATATACAATGTTCAACAAATGTTTCGACTCCGATCGTTATTTTCAATGTTACAATAAATACGGATAGTTATACAAAATTCGTTGTCCTACAAAAATTACTCCGTGTTCTTCATGCTTTGAGTCAATAAGATGAAAATTTAAAAGTTAAATTATATAAAAAATTTCAAGTTTTACTTTTCAAGGATGCAAATTAAAACTGTGCTAACAGACAGTTTTTGAAATATACTATTTAGCGCTGATATACCGTGTTTTCTAATGTTTCACGTAAGTGAAAAATTTAATTATACTTATAGTGTGTGTCTAAATATTTTGTCTAATCAGTATAACATTGTCTCACACATTGTGTAATATAGATCTGCGCGATATGAATTTCCGAAAACGCAAATAGAAAATTGTGTGCGTCTTAAATTTTAACCTCCCACGACAATGCCATACGAAGACCGTGCAAAAAAGTGCATTGTCTGTACGGCGCAGACGGTCGATTGGTGTGATGAGGATAACGTGAGGAATCGAGTATTCTTGAAAGAGAAAAAAGAAAAAACAAAAGAAAGATAGTGAGGGAACGAGAGGAATAGAGAGATGTGAAGAGGGCGATGTAAGAGGGAATGTGAGGAAAAAGACAAAGTGGACAGACAGAAGAGAGAGAGAGGGAGAGAGAGAGGAGGGGAGGCCGCAAAGGGAAAGGAGCAGAGGAAGAATGAAAGGAAACGAAAAATGGGGAAAGAAAAGTGCACAGTATGTGATCGAAGTACTCGAGGAGAATTAAATTTTTACGGCGAGAATGCAGCTTGCCGCCGAGTTGTCCAACCGTTGATAGTTTTTAGGATGGCCCGCTTCCGGCAGAGCCGGCGCGGCGCGGCACAGCGCGACGCAACTTAATGCGGCATGGTAGATGGTACGGCACCCGGCCGGTTGGCCGGTCGACCGGCTAGCCTGTCTACCCGCCTGCCTGCCTGCCTGCTTGCTTGCCTGCTGTGTGCGATTCTCAGCAGATAAAAATAATCGTCAAGAAAGTAGAAAAGTTCCGAACAGGTTTCTGCAAGGCGAGAGTGAGCGAGTCGGTCGGGCGACGTATCTCTGCTCTCGCTTGCGTTTTCGTTGGGCCGCGTCACGCCGCGCGCCGCCGTGCCTTGCCGTCGGAGGGATGCGGGACGCGAGTGCATGCTCCGACCAGACGGATAGCTTACAGTTAGCACGTAGGGCCGTAACATTGTCGAGAAATCCCGTCCGTTACGCCCGCCGAGATCGCTGACCGTTTCTCTTTCAGCGAGACGCGACATATGCGAAGACGCGTCGAGGTCACAAACACACATCATTTGTAGGCATGTCTGTCACAATTTACCGCATGAGAAATTTGTACTATTAAAGAAAAATAAAGAATAGAGAAAGAAAGGTAGTAGAGAAGAAGGTATTTACGACCGCTTTTTTTGAGTCTATATAATTCGTTGTAGTTTTATTTAAAAAATTATATTAGCTACGTTTAGCAGAAAAAGCAGCTTTACAACTGTTGTAAAATTCTTTAACATGATTGAGCTTGCCCTTGGTTTCTCACTGGAACTGAATGAATAAACCAATTATATTCGAGAATTTTACAACAGTTGCAAAACTGCTTTTCTGCTGAACGCAGCCATAGTTCCGTTGTACAAAATATATAAATGTTTTTTTATTTATTTTTCTATATCTCCTTCCTTTCTCTCTTATATTTTATTAACATATACAGAATATATAACTCATGGTATTTTTATAATATAATTTATTATATCATAAGTATGGAAAAAAAGTCTTAAGAGATTTATTAAATTTTCAGTCCCTCACTAAATAATATATTTTTACGTATTGCGTGGACAACTTTTTTGGAATATTTTCGCTAGTCCTTTCATGAAAATATCATAAAAATGATGAATTCATCAAAGAGAGCTTGATTATTATAATTATTACATCTTAAGAAAAATTAATTAAAAAACATAATTACAACGACGATCTATCTAAACATGGAAAATAATATAATTATATAAAAGAAGCAATATTCAATAATTACATTAATGGAATTCTTATATGACGTATGATTCAAACATGGGTAACGGATAGATTTGAATGTAAAAAACATTTTTATTTTTTACAATTTAAATTCTATATATTTCTAGTACAAAGTACAGCTAGTAGTAAAGTACATATATTTCTGTAATACGTAAAAGATAAAAATGTCAAGTGGCATCTGAAAATATTGAAATTCAAAGTGTTTTTTCGTCTCGGGGTAATCCGAGTCTCTTGCGACAATCCTGAACAAGGCGGGGTCCGCGTATCCCACGAAGAAAGATAAGCGGTTGAATCGGATTGGATTGAGGTGCGTCTCTGGTGGCGAGCAAACTGGTTTCAGTTATGTGGAGCTTGCACCATTGCATCGCTCTTTCAGCGAGACAGTCCAATTTATGCATCACGACTATGTAGGACTATACGATACATCAAAACGCTGCGTCCGGGCCTTAAACTCACCTCGTCGTTCTTTCTCTCATTATAATCATCTACTATCACTATATACCACCACAATCACTACCACAATCACCATCAACCTCCCCCCACCACCACCAACACCACCACCACCACCACTACCACCACCGCCACCACCATCACCACCACCACCACCACCACCACCACAACCTCTACCACTACCATTATTATCACCACTACCACCACCATCACTACCACCACCACTATCATCATCATCATCATCGTCAGTATCACCGTCGCCGTCGTCATCATCGCCACCGCCACCGCCGTCGCCAATAAAATAATCTACGGGATTTGTGTGCCTGTTTGATCTGTTTCGGATTTTAGTTTCGGTTTTACACACAAGTGCCTACACAAAACTAAATTAAACGATTTAAAGTAACGCACATTGGCTGTACGCGATAAAACGGACATCTCTTTCATCTTCAACTCTCCTTCATTCCCTCACACGCTGCATATCGCTCAGTGCAATTACGCGCGACGACGTGATTATAACCGCGAGTGTAACCATTGCTGCTGCCGTCGCCACCACTACCACCACCATCACCACCATCACCATCGCCTCGTTACCGTCGTCGCTGCTGCCATCGCTGTCGCTGTCGCCGCCGCCGCCGCCGCAGCAGCAGCCGTTGTTGCTGCCGCTGTTGCCGCCGCCGTCATCAACCTGAAGTACGGAACACGCTCTTCGCGAAGAAACTGTGACGTGCCAATTATGAGTTTTACGACGTTCAGTGGGAGATCCTGACTGCTGTCCTGTGTTGCCGTTGCAACTGATATTTCTTCATTGCCAAAGCAATAAATTTGCTAAATTGATACCGGTGTAAGGAGCAAGAATTCAGCACAGGTACACATGCATATCATTTATCACGAGCACGTTCCCCTCTGTCTGCCTTTGTCTCTCTCTTTCTCTCTTCCTCCCCCTCTTTCGTTTTGTCCCGTCTTTCTTTTGACAGTACACGCAAAGATTATCTTTTTCCGTTTGCGTGAGTTAATTGGACAAACGCGTTTACGCACAAATGTTGGTCTGTTTGAAAGTTAGCCTCGTGTATTGCGATTTTCTGAATATTTCAGCCGTAATTTGGATATTTCTTCATATTTCCCCCCCCCCCCCCAAAAAAAAGTTCTCCAAAAATTCTCCTAAACTTTTTTTAATCTCAAAAAGAGTATCGAAAACAACCTAAAAATTTAGAGGAAAATGCCCCAATCTGGCAACATTAAAAAAAATCACACATACAATTACATTCTTTTTTTTCTCACATAATGGCTGCGTTCATCAGAGTAAGCAACTTTGCAACTGTGTAAAATTTTTGAATATAATTTATACATTTAGTAGGAAGTAAGAGCAAGACGAATTGTATTCAAGAATTTTACATACATAGTTGCAAAGCTGCTTTTTCTGCTAAACACAGCCAATAATTCAATGCGTGCAATGTTAGAATGTAGATACAATGGAAGGAATGAATTTCAACTTATTAGAAATCAAAGACACCGGAATTACACAGTTTCTGATAGATTGAAGTCGTTTCTACTGTGTCTGCAACCTTATATGGATAGCCTAATAATAAATAAATTAACATGCTCGGAAGAATTTTTCTTTGTCTTCAATAATCGTGTATAATATTTCCTCTTTTCTTCTAAAAAAAAAAAAACTAAACTACTGAATTTTAATTTCGTTTCTAAACGGCAAAATGGAAAATGTATAACGCTCGATGATTCTGAATTGTCGATATTATTCGAATGCACCGCGTGAGCGACATTTTCACGCGACCGTTATGGCTTCTTCGTGACTCGTATAATGCGCTTGGCGGGTTCTTGCCGATCAGGAGGAATATAATGGACACCGCGACAATGGGAGAAGCATGCGATACGGAATAAAATCGTACCTAAAACAAATCTTGTTTTCACGAGTGGAAATATGCGGCAAAGTCGCATTTTTTGCGAATATTTACATGTTCGCAAGTACGTAATTATAATAGTGCGTTCGCGGAATGTAAAAGCACGTTCGCGTGCACGCGCGAAAGCGATAGCAAGTGCGTAGCGATATGCGCCGCGTTGGCAGGTGAACGCGTTCATCAAAGGGTCGCGATTGTATATCGACGAAGTGAAAATTATAAAAGTGAACATAGTTAATTTCAATGAAATTCTAAATATTTTAATAAATTTGCTTATTTTTATATTTTTAACTTTCATCAAGTTATTTGGTGCATAATCGAATCTCCCATGGCCTTAAGCCGTAATCACACTAGCGATTGCGCGATTGTGATTGACGATTGAGGATTACTTTTCAACCAATCAGAGCAAAGCAGTCACCGATTGCTTTGTTCCGATTGGTTGAGAAGTAATCCTCAATCGTCAGTCACAATCGCGCAATCGCTAGTGTGATTACGGCTTTAGGCCATGGCACACAAAAAAGCTTAATCAATCAAATGTAAATAGTAAGTGAATTGGGTGGGGGGGGAGGGGTAGTCACAGTAAACATAAGGTGAAATTATATTTGTGCGTTTTTGTCGTATGACAAATTTTTTAAGCTTGTTAATTAGCTGCAGGACATAATTTCTCGAATTTCTCTGTCTTGCAGCTAATCAATCAAGGCTTGTGCTTATGTCCGTAACTTTAAGTCTAAAGCCGGTTGTTCTACAATAGAGTCGCAGGCCTTAAGCCGTAAGAAATTAACTAATCAGAATCGATTGTTTGACTCTGATATTTAACTATAATTGACCATTTTTTTACGTCTTATGACTTACGACTCTATCGTAGAATAACCATAAGTAAGCGTTACAACAATTCTTATGCTCAGACCCTTAGGTACATACAAAAACGTAAGGTAATAGGCGATAAGCGAATCGACGAATCACAGTAGGAAAGGTTACTGTTTTATGTGTTTCTTACTGTGATTAGCCGATTCGCTTAGTGCTTACATTTTAGGGCTCACACCTTGACAGAAAAGCGGAAAGCGGAAGAGCAGTAGCCAAACAGAACTCGCGCTGGTAGTCGACTTTCTGTTAATTTTGTATTACTTAATACTAATGCGAGTTCTGATTGGCTACTGCTTTTCCGCTTTCCGCGTTTCCGTCAAAGTGTGAACCCGCCCTTACTGTCTTGTTTTTCTATGTATTTCTGGCTTTCTCATACACTTTTCGTAACTGTAATATAGGCTTTCGACAATAAGTCATTATCTGATAGCGAATTTGGTTGGATACACTAGTGCGCACTGGTGCATTTTAAAGCAATAGTACAATGATTTAATATAATAAAAGTGTGAAATGCAAATATTTCGAATTATAAAATACATATTTAAGGAGATTCTAAAGTTGTTTTATCGATCAAACGCAATAATTTTTGTGTATAACAATTACTTTTTTTCTTTTTTACAAATTGGAAAATCTTTTTGCATGATTAAAATATGCACATTCATACGTATCTGTGAGATGGAGTTTATGCCGAGAACAAAAAAAAAATATTTAAATTGAAATCTTCTTTACCGTTTCTTACTCCAATCCAATATGGCGTCAGATCTATTAATATCCTATCAACATTTGCTTTATGTAAAAGCTCAGGTGCCGTCCCATGACGCGTATCGAAGGATTCGACCAATCACTGACGACCCGCCGTTTTACGTACGTGACAATTTTGTTCCTTAAGCCCTATCTACAATTGTGTAAACGTAGTTGTAGACGTAGTTATAAGAATTGACCAATTATAGTTGAATATGAGGAGAATATCCAACTGTGATTGAAGGATTCTTACAATTACGATTACTTACAACTACGTTTACACAATTGCAGATCAGGCTTTATGTTCCATGCAACGGATCGCGCGTAAGCGGATTAGCGAATCGCCTATCACAGGATCATTGTGCATAGACCCTAAGATATATTCGTAGTTGTGATATTTTTTTTATCCAAATTATGCAGATATTTGTAATTTTGGATGGGCTCTGGTGAGTCATCTTAAATTTTCGGCACTTTACTAAAGAACCATTTAATTATCTACATAGTCTACATAGATGATACCTTGTACAATAGTTTACGTTGTTTAATATTCTACGTGTAGAATATTATAATTTAGGTAATTTATAATACGTCCACGGATTAATAGAAAGGAGTGACATCTCAATAGCTTTTTTGTTCTAAAAATGGTCCCTAATTTTTTTATCGCCGATAGAGGCGCTGTTATAATTGAAGACCTGACTGTCTTCCGTAGCGCAAAAATTTAAACGGCTAAAATAAAAGAATCGAAGGTAATTGTTTAATTTAGCCACAACCACTTAAAAATTGATAAAATTATGCTCGTTCGAGGCGTTTTTGTTCCAAACGAACGAATCATTCAAAAGTTTAAACAAAAATTATCTAAAAGCAAATATTTTCAATTCTAGCCTCACATATTCTCATTGATTGACATTTACGGAATCTGCAGCAACAATATCAGACAACACATTCAAATTCCATCTGCTGTTCTGATAAGTCGTCTATTCTTTCTATCAATGTCATTGGAATTGCACCAACTTTTAATCTAAGTACTATTCATTTTGAACGATATATTCTACCATAATTAAGTTGCGTTTCATCCCATTTAATGAGATCATCATCCTTAAAATGATCTTCGCAAACGCAATTGTTTTCAGCCAGAGGCTTTTTCAAGTTAATTAATGTTGCTCCATTGCGACAATAGATTTTTGTTCTAACATGTAAGAGAATAAATATAAATAACCATTATAATGTATAACAAAAAAAGTATAACTTACAAACTTTTGAAACTATTCTTTGGTGCTTTAAAAAGACTTTTTTGCACTGGTTTGTTTATTTCTACAATTTAATGCACCTTTTTATCATGTTTACCTTTTCACTGATTGTGAGTCTTTCAACGCGTTATTCATCGAGTCGCAATAATGATGTAGACACCATGGTACCAGGATGTCACACTTCCATCAGTTCCACCTCCATAACCGGAAAAACGGGGTTGTCAGCGAAAGAAGCGCCACGAATTTCTTTGCTGCTGCGGAGTCCGCAGTAAACTGCAGATATTATTCCTTTCTATTACTTCGTGATTTTTAATATACATTTTATGTGAACTCTATAATATATTGACTTAGTTTACACCGAGCACTTGATACGCAGATCAAGTACCATACCCGTAGTCTCTCTCAAAAATTCGTACCAAATCACTTGATATGCTCGGTATAAACGCTAGGGGATTACTTTAGTGCGTTCTGGGCTGAGGCCCGATTTATACTTCGGTCTTAATCCTAAAATTCTAAAATTCAATCAATGGAATACAGATTGCGGTTAGGATTGACAGTCTTATTGGTTGAATTTTAGGATTTTAGGATTAAGACTCGAAGCATAAACTCAACCTGATACTCCCGAATCGCGAATAACAAACCAAGTTAATACGCGTATTAAAAGATTCTATTGCGCTATAAACGCTTGATTCGTTTGGGACTATTAAATCCCGCTATTTGTTGTTACATGTTAAGATTATTTAATATAGTTATGATTAAAAGTTTATCTCGACAATAAAAATGTGTAAAAAGGGAGTAAATAGGACATTTGCATTGTATATTCTTCTATTATTTTCGCAATAATTGCTATCAATAGGATGATTATTGTTTAGCTTATCCTTTTCTTTTTTTATATTTCTAATACTAGACAAGAACCGACATTGAATCTAAACCAGTGACCACAAACTGACAGTTACTTACAATTTTTCGTTACTTTTAATTCAAATTGTCAAGTTGAGACTTTTAAAAACCTAATTTAACCCGTTTTCAGATAAATCAATGTAAACAGGAACGTATCAAATACTTAATCCACACCAACTTGATACGTGTACCAAACAATTTTACGGTTAAAAAGGGTTACTGGAGCGCACGCGCAAGTCTTCTCTATACTGAATTATAGAATACTATCTGAAGGAGAAAAGAAAGGCAAGCGATCGTATTCGTTTCTCTTTTCTACTTGTAATAGTAATACATCATTAGTTAATCAGCGAATCTCTGACAAAGAAAACAGTACCAACTTTGCATAAGAACATTTTTGGAGTCGATTGTGTATTTCGAAATGAGATGAAAATTATAAAAATAAGCAAATTTACTAGAATATTCGTAATTTAATTAGTCAACATCTAGTGAATTTTTGCTTACTTTTGTAATTTTTACCTCATTTTAAGATACACAATCAACTCCTTTGTTTAAAAATTGAGACATCTTCACTCCTCGATGAATCGCTCCAGTATGTTGTAGACATAGAGATCACTGAATTTATATAGAGTCTTCTGTTCTTTATTCTTTGGTTATGACCTTACAGCCTCTGTTGTGATTGGTCAATTCGCTTACTGCTTTTGTATAAATCCAGATCTGTAATAGGTGTTTTAAATCTTAAGGCTAATTCTACAATGTGCTTTTTGTTTCCTGTTTCTTGCTGTTTGTCTCTTATCTTCTTAATCAAAAAGCCAAGAGACAAATAGAGACAAACAGCAAGAAACAGGAAACAAAACGCACATTGTAGAATTAGCCTTAATGGCTCCTGCAAACAGAACGCGGCAACGCTTGCCGCGCAACGGAAGTTGGCGCGATAGCCAATAAACGTCTCGCCGGCAAGATGTTGATTGGCTATCGCACCAACTTTCGCCGCGCGGCAAGCGTTTCCGCGTTGTGTCTGCAGGAGCCATAAATCATAAGAAATGGACGAATCATAGCTAATTATTCTCTTCATATTCAACTGTAACTGGTCAATTTTTTATAGTTTAAGGTTTAAACCACCTATTGTAGATCCGGACTTGTAAGACCATAAGGGCCCTGGCATACAAAAAAACTTAAGGCAGTAAGATTTAACAGTAAGCGAATTGACCAATCACAGTTGATGCCGTAAGGCCATAAACTTAAGCAGTAGCAAATCCACAACGTTGATTTCCTTACTGCTTACGTCTTACTGCCTTAAATTTTTTGTGTGCCAAGGCCCTAATACTTAGAAAAATTTAAGATGTAAAACTCAGGCCTCACCGTTTCCACTGAGCGCGTCACGCGTTGCATTGTGAAAGAGAGAAAGAAAGAGTTTACGCAAATGGAATGTTTGATTGGTTAACTCATGATGGCACGACACGTGGCGCACTCAGTGGAAACCCACCATAAGGGGACTCGTTTATTTTTCTCACATTCGATTATGATTAGTCAATTTCTTACTCTTCTTATTATACACACTTTCGTCTATTGTAGATAATATATTACGTTTTTTATGTATCATGGACTTAAGTATTTTGATGTGCCAGCACTTGCTAGGGCCTTTATCGTTTAAGTGTCGCAGCACAGACTTTTGCATGTCGCATAACCCCGGGTCTACAATAGAGTTCTAAGCCTTAAGCTATGAGAAGTGGACGAATCATAGTCAATTATTCTCCTCGAATTCAACCGTAATTGGTGCATACAGTGCAATAAGTTGAAATGAAACAAACGTATATTTGTTTCATTTCAACTTATTGCACTCTGTGCACCAGTTCAGTAAAAAGAACAAGCCTAAGAAAAAAAGTTGAACTGTGTAAGAACATCGATTAGGTACTATATTAAAGACACTCGGCTCTAGGCAAATTTTTGTAACTATTAATACGGCTCCGGGGACCCGGGAATCATTGAAGAATGACATTATCGACAGTTAATAAAAATTTGCACATTTATTAAAATATAAATATTTTGATAATACATTATTAAATTTATTTTTTTTATTAATAAATACTGTATAAATAAGTACGCATACTTTAAATGTTATAACATTTTAAAATGTCGAAAAATTATAACTTCTTTTTGCAGTTATCATCTCTATTACTAATCAAACTCGTATGATAACATTAAACTCAACAGTTTTTAATAAAAATTGAGTATTATTAGGTTTTGAACATATTATTTATACATGTCCACGAAACTAATAAATTATGAAATTAGTACCGTATTATCAGTTTATTATTTTTAATCATTTAAATTTTAACAGTCAACGCGTGCTTCCATTAGAGGCGAGCACCTTTAATATAATATCTCGGTAGTAAGAACTTCTGTTAAAAGGTTTGTTCTTGTTTGCTGTGCACTATGAACACAGTGCAGCAATAAGTTGACGCGAAACGGACGTATATTTGTTTTACTTTAATTTATTGTAAATACATTGTAGAATATACTACACCGTGTGTATAGATAGTTGAAAATCTAAAAAGGACGGACCTTCTGCGACATTCGTCCATCGTCGCGTACGTGCATGTTACACGCGCAAATGTATACGAGGGAGAGCGAGCGAGTTTTCTCGAGTACGCTCCGCTCTTCGGGTTTTGCGAGCGCGGTACTCCGGTTTGACGCGCGGCGCGGAACAGTCAACCTTTTTCCGTCGAGCCGTTCTGCGGGCCGCCAATCAGAATTCGCGCGAACGCGGCCGCAGCGAGAAAATGGCCAACGTCGTGTCGCTGGGTTCGAGCGTATCTTTGCGCGTCGTTTTGTGAACCCCGTAGTCCGCAATCACGTTGACGTCTGTCGCCATTTCCTCGCGTGGAGGAGCCCGTTCGTTTATTTTACAAGGTAACGATCGACGTACGATTTCTATCGTTGGCACGATGAATTTCCCGCATTTGACTCGCGGCACCGTTCGTCGTTGCGCTTCCGCGAGTGCGAGTGAAAAGTACCCTGGGATAAATGCATTCCGAAGTGCATATGTCCAGAGTGCATACAAGTGCATCACGGCGGCGGTCGCCGTGCGATCGGAGTGTGATTGCATTTCGCCGGCCGGCGAATTGACACGCGGTAAAAGTGCAACCGCGAGTCTCGTCGCAAGAATAACGGCGACGTCGGAGAGGACAGAGGGATTATTTCACCGCGAGACAATTTTTGCCGCGCGAATCTTTCGCTAACATCGGCGATTGCGCCGCTCCGTTTCTTTCCTCTCCTCCCCGCTCCGCGCGCCATGCTGCGCTGTTGCCGCGCTGTTGCCGTCACCATTGCCGCCTGTCCGTCTGTGGTCTACGCCAACTGATCGGCGATCGCGTTTAATCGTCTCCGCTGCCTAATCGGTGCGCTGAACTTTGCGAGTGTCATCGATAACGTACGGCGTTACAAATTGGGCATCACGAACTTTCCTCTTCGGTTCCTGCTTCTCTCGTTTCTCGTATTAAGCGAAAATGTAATGTCTACAGACGGTCGCTTCGATATTTTTAGTTATTTATTTTTTTAATTTCGTGCGCCAGGTAAGTCCGATCGCCGACGGTTCACGCTCCGATCTTTGCACTCCGACATACACATATGTACATACATATATATAAGTATTTATTTATATACATATGTGCGCGCGCGCGTGCGTGAGAGAGAGAGAGAGAGAGAGATATATCTCTTCCAGTTTTCTTTCACAACATTTCGCGCCTATGCATTATGGAGTACCATCGAGTATATAATCGGAGCATTTGTGATTCTTTCTTCACGTACCGGCTGATTTTCCCACTCTTCTCCGAGACACTTTATCGTTTCACATTTCGAGAGAACGCTCTTTCATTACAAATGAATTTTTATGTGCAGATGTATTTCTTGAAAGAATGAAAATATCCTAAATTTGATAGATAATTTTAATTTGCTCGAAATAGATTTTTTTTCCAGAATTTGTATTAAGAATATTACTTTAATTTTGAATTATTTATTTCGTAATGAATAACTATAACTAGTACTCTCTCTTTAAAGTTTATTGCTAATAATTCAGACAGTCTTACTTATTAATTTGAAATTGTATCTGTTCGAAAGCCTGTTTGCGTTTTTATTTTGTCTCAGAAAATAAGAGAAATAAATTATAATATTCAATATTCAATACTAAAGACCGTTAATGTGAGAACACAACCAATACAAATACAAAGCCTATAACAGTCTAGTTAAATCTTTTTATCGCTTATGTATAAACTACCGCAGTACTATCACGAATTAAATTAAATTAATAATTAATCTCTTGCATCATTATAGTACTATATTAGAAAATAATGTCTTATTGTTGCGCAATATGTACAATATTTGAATTTGTATGTTATATATTACAGATATTTTGTTATTTAACGTACAAAATAATTTGTACAAGTATCATATGCGATATGTATTATATAACCAAATAATTCATTACAAATTTAATTAATGTAGTGACAAAGGATAAGCAATTTCAAATTATTGTTTCAGCTATGGCAGAAGGGAATGGAGAGATAAAAATGGAAGAAAAACAAGAATTGGAAAATGTTGAACGGACAGAAGATTTCAACAAACTCATGCAATACGGGCTAGACGAGAAAGTGGCTGCCAAATTGGATGAAATTTACAAGACGGGGAAATTAGCTCATATTGATCTAGATGAAAGAGCTCTTGATGCCTTAAAGGAATTTCCAGTCGACGGTGCGCTAAACGTGCTTACACAATTTCTGGAATCCAACCTGGAACATGTATCCAATAAATCGGCATACCTTTGTGGAGTAATGAAGACGTACAGACAAAAGAGTCGTGCTGGTCAAGGTACAGGCACCAGTACGACACCTAAGGCTCCCGATGAAGACAAAATCAAAGTAATTTAAAGACATTATTTACTTAATTCTGATGACATGTATCATTTGTATAAAAGATTTCATATCAATAGTCAGCGCCAAGTTAAATTCTATCTTTAAAAACCCAAGAGGTACTATCCTTATTATTTATTTAATTCTAATGATATTTGTATAAAAGATTTGATATTAACAGTCTTGGCGCCAACTTAAATTCTATTATCATCTTTATAAACCTACGTGGTATTATTATTATTTACTTAATTCTAATTTGAAGATAGCTTTTACATATGATATATATAACTTATATTTATAATATAGCTTTTAAATTTCTCTAAAGATAGTTTATTTTACTTAAATACCTAAATACTCCACTTTATAATAATATAAATGTTTGTATTTTAGTTAATTCTGGAAAGAACAGGATATCCCTTGGATGTAACTACTGGACAAAGAAAATATGGTGGTCCTCCACCAGATTGGGAGGGTCCAACTCCTGGCACTGGTTGTGAGGTAAATTTATCTTTACAATAAATTGTATGCGCGCATATCTTTTCTGCTTCTACATACACATACACGCGCGTGCACACACACAATGTTATTACATATATGTATATATTTATCTTTGTGTATTAGAAATGCGATGTGTATACTGAGAAAAAAGTTTACTAAATTTTAATAAATATTTGAATAGTTCTGACGGAATATTTACTGAAATGCAAGTAACGTTTATTAGACACAAGAACCATTAGTTTAATTCAACTATTATATTTTTATTTATTTAAATATTTGTTTATCGTAAATAAATGTTCCTTTAGGATCATTCAAAGAAATATTTATTAAAATTTTTTTCTCAGTATAATATTTTTAAATTATCCTTTTTGACATATAAAAATTTTCCAAAGATATCTCTTACAATCATGATTTGTATTATTCACAAAAACGTCATGTGTATATAGTGCAGTTATTGAAGGAAATATATTAAATGTTGTTATATAAGTTGTGTTTATATTTTAAACTTATTATCTCGAATATTTTTATAAAAAGGTATTTTGTGGCAAAATCCCAAAAGACATGTACGAAGACGAATTAATTCCATTATTTGAGAAATGCGGAAAAATTTGGGACTTGAGACTGATGATGGATCCCATGTCAGGTTCCAACAGAGGATACGCATTTATCACATTCACTAACAGGGAAGCTGCGCAGTACGCTGTTCGAGAGGTATGTTAATATTTTTCCTCAAATCTTTCCGTAATATAATTATTGTGTATATTTTCGTACAATATATAAAGTTATTTTTGTACTTTCTTAGTTATTAACGTATTGTCATACACACACATAGATTAGGATCCTTTTTTCTTTTTATTTAAAAAATTTTTAGAAATGTTACAAAATTGTTATTGCTACCAACATAATAGTGCTTGTTCGAAATGTTTATAAGTTAAATAGAGAAGTTTAATTTTGTTATACAATGTCTATTTTATATTTAATGATACAAATATTAAATTTAAAATATTAATATATCTTAGTTTTTGTTTTAAATATGAGATGTGGCTGAATTATGTATATTAATGATGAAAATACTATATGTGTATATATGTATATGTGCGTGTGTGTGTATGTGTATATAGGTGTGTGTATATATGTGTACACACACACTCACCCACACACACACACACACACACACATACACATATATGTTAGTTTTATGTTGAACATTTCGAATGAGTGTTACTATATTCCTATGTGGCTTGTTCTATATTATCTTTTTATATTTCGTTGTTTCCCAGTAGATTTAACGCAGACATATTAATTTAAGTCCTTGCATTTTTATAATTTTTTAAACCTACATACTTTTAAAAAATATATACACAATTTAGAGAAAATAAAAATTTGCATACATATGTACATATGCATTGCGTGTAAGAAAGAATGATGGAAGTAGAAAGAAAGAAGTGGAAAGAATGAAAAAGTAAGACGAAGTGTGAGAAAGTGAGAATGAGAGAAAGAAAGAGTGAAAGAAAGTAGGAAAGAGAGAGTATGTAGAAAGCGAAAGAGTAAGAGAAGAGTAAAAGGAAAGAGAGAAAGGGGGGAGGCATATGTACATGAGTATGCAATTTATATACGTATAGGTTTTTTCATTAATATCGAGAATTTTAAATATTTTTGTTATTCTAAATAATAAGAAGTTGAAATTCTATGGCTTTATGGTTTTGTGAATGACATGTCATACATAAAATGACAAAAAAGTCCGAAACCGATAAAGTATCTCAAAGAAATTTTTTTGTTACCTTGTATAGTGGCAATGTTATATATAGAGATTTGTTATATATAGAGATATGAAGATTTTAAGACTAATCTGATTTTTATAAATTAAACAATTTTTCTAATTATATAAAATTGTTGACATAAAGTTAAACAATCAATAACTTTCAATAAATTATGAAATATTTATGTCCATTTTCATCAATGTAGATTAACTTTAATCTCAGTTCAATTTGCTCTTCGTCTTTTTCTAGTTTTAAAACTTAAAAAAAGGTGAATAGTATATTAAACCGAAATTAAAGTTAATCTACATTGATGGAAACAGGCATTAATGTTTTAATATGGCACAATTTGGCATGAAATATAATTATCTGAAAAAAAATTAATTTTTAAATAATCTCACTGCTCCATACTTTTATATTAAACCTGCGGCACACAATGCTGGTTTTCCTACTTGATTATTTACTTGATTAGTTTTGATAAACTCCTAAAAATTTTGCGATTATTATAATTTTGCTAATTATTTACTAAAATACAAGCAATCTAGGAGAAAAACATTTATCGTGTATTGCAAGCTTTATTTTTATATGCAAAATAATTAGGAAATTTATATTATGTAAGAAAAATCATTTTTATTTTTATGTTAAAAGAGAAAAGCGATTCTCGAAATTTTTTTATGTTTCTACATAACGAAAGCATTGCTACTACACATATGTTTTTCGAATTTATTAAATCTTGTAATTTAAATTTTTTCTATTACTTAGAATAACAAAGATATTTAAAGTACTCGAAAGTTAGGTGAAATATAATATTTTAAAATAAATGAAAACACGTATATATAATATATTTAATATTTTTATACACACATACACGCACATACACATACATATACGTAGGAACAATCCACATATTATATGTTTATATGTATATGTCCCTGACCATTTATTCGTGTTTAAATACGCAATTACATCCACTGATCCTATATATTTAATAACACTGAAATATATATATTAATGATATCCTATGGATGAGTTTCTTTTCCAGCTCTCCTCTTTGCTCAGAGGGCAAAATTGGGAGTGGAGAACCTTTCTGAAAATCATGATGATTATGTGGTCTAATTGGTTAGGGGTATATTTATCTAATTGGTTGATTCTCATTGGACAGTGACAATTTTTGTAACAAAATTCTGAAAATTGGTAGGCTTAAAATTTGTTTACAGGAGTACATGAAAGGCCGGTTTGCTATATTGTGAAGACTCGAGCGACAAAGCGCATGCCACTTTCTCGCTTTCGTGAACCTACGCCAGTGTTAATAATTAATATTCGTATTAAATTGCATATTTAGAAAAGTTTTTTCCCAAATTCAGTAATTATCTTAAAAACCATGAAACCGCCTCATTGGAACAAAATTAGGCATGTGTCTGTTTTCTGCATCCCACAGCTCGATAATCACGAAATAAAACCCGGCAAGAGTCTGAAAGTAAACATTAGCGTTCCTAATCTACGTCTTTTCGTGGGGAATATACCAAAGTCAAAAGGCAAAGAGGAGATCTTGGAGGAATTTGGTAAATTAACAGGTAAAGTGAATTCGAGGCGTGTGTACCTACCTACCTACCTATTACCTACCTGTCTACCTGTATTGTATAACTTAAGAGTGCTAGCTTTTAAGTAGTGGTTGTAGATGGTATGGAACTGTGGAGCATCCAAGGATCACATTGATTTTATGATCTACGAATATATACCTTATGGCACCTTTAGTTCTGGTCAGTCTCCTTGCCTCTCGGTTTATTAGTGAACAGTAACACCTCTCTGGTCCAAGTCTTCTTTTCCTCGCATATTTAGGTTGACTTATGAGTTTATCTGCTTCCTATTCTATACATGCGATTACCTTGTTATCCTCTTAATTTCCCCGTCCTCGAATTTATGCAACTGATCAATTCATCAATCTTTATTACTGATATCTTCTTCGTCTTCTTTTTTTGGAACGGTAAAAAAGAAGCGAGACGATGGAAGGAGAAAATGTGGAAGCCGTATGATACTTTTAGATTAAGAATTATTTTATGTACTGTGACAAAAATTATGCTGTCTTGCATCATTGCAATTTTGCAATATGCAAATGTGATTCATCACTAAGTCTTAAGCTTTGGGGTATGGGAGATTTGCGTGGACCGCTGGGGCGTTTGGCTCGCTAACAAACGGACAGGCACTCCCACCCACCCTGTATGATATTGATCCTCTCAAACTATCAAAATGTCCATGATCCTTCGAATAATGGCCCTATATTTATATAAATAAAAATCTCTCCATCCCCTCCACCAACCATCTTCCCTCAAGGACATTTCATGAAATCCTGCGTTCAGACAGCCAATAAGCAGGTGAAATCATAAATGGCAAGCTTAATTGGCACTCTCCTTCCACATTATTCTTACAGCTGAATGATTATGAGATTCGGAAAGGGAAAAAGATTGGTGTTACCGTATCTTATAACAATCACCGCTTGTTTGTGGGAAATATTCCAAAGAATCGAGACCGAGATGACTTGTTCGAAGAGTTTACAAAGCACGCACGTAAGTTGACAATTGTCCTTAAATCAGCAAGCAGTAACCAAATGGAAGTTCTCTGGGAGATATGGAACAAAAAATTTATCATCTTATAACAAATCAGGTGTTTTTCTTTAGTCAGTAGCAGAGTGGGTTAACCAGGTGGGTTAAATCCAGCCCTCTTGCATAAATGTGAAACAAAAATCTTATTGTAAATTGATACTCGGAGAAACGAAATTCTTCATTATTCATTTTCAAAAATATTATTGATGTTTGGTAACGCTGACCAATTTATTTATAAGCTAAATGTGAACTCTTCTTATCATATAATTCCTTTCATTTTTAATAACTTTTCATTTGCAAAACGTGCATAGTTGCAATGAGTAGACAATCGTAATTGTGTCCTACAACCAACTGAGTTTATTTTATTTGAAATATACATAGGTACACACATGTACGCGCGTGCACGACCGTCCATTTTATCCATCCATCCATCCATCCATCCCTCCCTCCCTCCCTCCCTCCCTCCCCGTACCCCTTGTTTACCTCTTTCGCCCTCGACTCTCCTCGTCATCTCCCCCATGAAACACACACACACACACACACACACACACACACACACACACATATATACACGGTTATTAAAAAAACGCGCGAGGAAAATATAGTGGAGGGAATGGGAGGAGAGAGAGAGATTGGGAGGGAGGGAGGGAGGAAGGGAGGGTGAGCAAGGAAGGGAGGAAGGAAGAAAGGAAGGAAGAGGAAAAGACAAAAACAGTATATGAGTTTTTACAATTTCAAGAAATTATTACGAGTACTTGGTTTTGGGACACAAAATTTAAATTGGAATGCAAACTTTATAGCCAATATCATTTACTGATATTTTTATTTTATTTTAAGAAATGGTAACAGTTTTTTATTTTATTAATTTATATTTTGAAATGGAAAATATATTTTTTTTCTGTATACAAAAGTATTAAGTATATGAATTAAAATAGAGACGCAATCGTATTTCACGAATGAATAATTGTGTGTTTATTGTGATATCTTTAATTTCAGACGTTAAATTTAATATGAAAGATATATTGTTTTTGTAAATGTAAATATAGCGAAAAAGAATGATCAGTGTGATCGAATGAATGTGTTTGTGATCATCACTATATTTCGTATGTATGTGCATAAGATTCTTGCATGTAACATTAATATATGGACACAGAGAGGAGATCAATGTATAAAAGTGATGATAAAGGCAAGAGCCTTTTGAATAATTAAATTCACATAGAAATAATCGAAAAAGTAACTTTAGGAAAGCAATCAATACGATTGATATAATGATACAAGGCATCTAACAATGACCATTTGATTTCCGTCTTATGATTTAATATACTGACAGACAAGAAACTAAAAGAATTAATGCATTTACTATGAATAATGATTAAATTAATACAAGTAAATTATATTTTATTCATATTAGTTAATAAAATTAGTGAGTAATTACAAAAATTACTCTATTATGATAAAACTTTATAAATTTAGTACATATGAAATCGATGGTTTGCTGCTTAGATTTATTATTCAAAAAAATACAAGATGCCTTGTTATCCGGAGGTAGTATAACTTCTAAACTGAGAGGAAGGAGAGGAAGACTATCTCTGAAAAATAAAAGTTCAGAGAAATGATGTGAGATTAATTAAGTTGCCTAGTGATAATTGTGTTGAATTGCTTCTTGTTTGACAATCTTTAAGTAATTTTACTACTATTTCCAGAAAAGCTCTGTCAGATTAAATCGGAGTGAAATCAAGTCGGGAAGTACAAATGATATTCTCACATCTTAAGATTAGAAGACAGAGACATGAAGGATATGATATAATTATACATAATATTAAAATATTGATTTCTTTATGTACACGTAATTGAATAATTATAATGCATGGGAGTTCTAATAGCATGAGAATTATTCTACTTAATAATATTTATATGCTTTTAAATTAAATAATCCTCTCAAATTCTCCAAAAAGAATACAGATTCAGTAAAAAAAATGTTAAAGAACATATGTAGGTATATGTATTAATATACATATAACTATTCTGATAAAGAGCGTTTTACAGAATTTAGAGCTTGTAATCTCTCTCTTTGTAGTTATTGATAGCGTCTATTTTTTCTATTCTTTTAATTCTGATTTTCTGTAGTTTTTTATTTGAAATTTTATTGTGAGCATTTGATGAAGTATAATGTTTCTTTTATTTCTTTTATATTTAATCTTTGAATTGTTTCTTTATCAAAGAAATTTTACTTGATAGATTCTGTTTTGATGCTTGTTTTTCTCCTTTTTTTTAAATTTTAAGTGTGTTTGTTCTCAAACGTACAAATATAAATAAACAAAATTTATAATTTATGAAATAGAAATATTAACAATGTCTAAAAAAGACTTAATAAATAGTATAATAACGTCACTTTTTATTATATAAAGATACATATAAGTGTTTTAGGAATCGTACAGATAAATTAATGTAGTCAGTCATCACATTAACGCAATTATTATTTTTTTCTCTTTAATTTTCTCTTTAATTTTTTGTTCTTAAATAGTATTCTTGCATTGCATAGCAATATAAATATGGAATTATTACATCTATGAAAAAGTCAAAAGTTACATACGAATTTTTACGTATGCGAATACGTAGTATCGTTAATAATATTAATATAAAATGATTTATGATAATTATTTTTTGTATGATAAAACGATTATATATATTATAATATATAATTTAACATGAATGTTGTAAATTTAAGATATTCCAGATAGGCAATATAATTATTATAATTACTTGAAGCATAGTACAAATATTACATATAAAATTATATAATAGCTGCTTGAATTTATATTTTATTTTGAATACTATTTCTATTTTTTATTATATATAGTAACAATTCTGAACATTTTAGGAGTATAAAGTTCGAATAAATCTTACCTGTTTTTTGTATGTTTTTTTTTTTGACATATAGCTGGCCTGACAGAGGTGATTATCTACAGTTCACCAGATGACAAAAAGAAGAATAGAGGTTTTTGCTTTTTGGAGTACGAATCTCATAAAGCAGCTTCCTTAGCCAAGCGAAGGTTAAGCACTGGACGTATTAAAGTTTGGGGATGTGATATTATTGTTGATTGGGCCGACCCTCAAGAGGAGCCAGACGAACAAACCATGTCCAAAGTAAATGAATCAGAATACGATCAAATTTAATTATTTTTATCATTGTGCTAGTCATCGATTCTTGTGTATTAACAATAGTGATAAAACTGTCTTAGGTGCGTGTGCTTTATGTACGAAATTTAACGCAAGATTGTTCTGAAGAGAAACTAAAGGAAAGCTTCGAACAATACGGCAAAATTGAGCGAGTGAAAAAAATCAAGGATTATGCATTTATACACTTTGAAGATAGAGATAATGCTGTTAAGGTAAAAATATATCAAGTTACGTTCTGTATAATAATGAATCTCTGATAAAAATTTATTTTAAATACATATATATGTTTCCTTAAGGCAATGAACGAATTAAATGGTAAGGAAATGGGTGGATCCCATATAGAAGTTTCATTGGCAAAACCACCATCCGATAAAAAGAAGAAGGAGGAGATGTTGCGCGCCAGAGAAAGACGAATGATGCAAATGTTACAGGGCAGAGGCGGGTACGTTATTGATATTTATATTTATCTTTAATTAATTCGCATCATTTATGTGTCCTATTTCACTTTAAGTTACTTATTTCATTTATTTCACTGGAATTTAAATTAAAGACGCTATATAATTTTCCCTTTTATAGTGGATCTCCATCTCATCCGAGCATGATGGGAGGTCCAATGCCAGTTCGTGGGCCCACACAGGGACCTCGGGGTACTGGTGCAGGTATGCGTGGACAGATGGGACGAGGCGATTATGGTTAGTACCAAATTTGAGTTCTCTTTTTTACATTTTGCTCCATTCATGTATTTTTTGACAGCGTCCTAACAGAAAGCAATTTTGATTTTCGTGCTAATATAAATTTCAATAATTCTTTGTATCACATTGATATACATTCACATGTACGCTTATATAATTTTATTGCTCTCAGGTAGTAACTTTCATTTAAACGTTAACTATTTTTCTTAATATCATTATTGAATTCTTAAGCTAAATCACATAGTATATATGTATATTAAAATTATAGTTATTAAAGCTATGTGATATATAATATCAAGATTGTCATTAATATTTTATATGTAAAGAAAGGATTTACAAATTAATAATTATAGTTTTATTGAAACTTAGAGATATAGAAGTTTTGTCGTTAAAAATTATAAAATGTTACATATGAATTAATACATATGTTCATAATTCATTTGTTAGGTGTATAAAGATTTATGAGAAGATATATATATGTATATATGTATGTGTATATATGTATATATATATAACTTATGTTGTACATAATTTTTCTTTTGATTTTTATAACTTTTTGTTCAATTTATTTCAGATTAAAAATATTTAGTGTGTTGAATAGTTATATATTGTTATATACATACACACACATATATATATATATATTATATATATATGTATACGAGATGTCACAAAAAGATTGGGACAGTAGATTATCGGCAAGATGATGTTTTCAGAAAAAATTTTTTTTAATTGTAAAAGTTACTCATTATAAGGTGATATGGTTTGATTTTGATTTTGAAAATATCAAGGTCACTAAATTTTTTAAGTGAGGAGAATCTCTATTTTTTATTGTAATTTCTTATGGTCAATGTTGACCTTTTCAAAAGAGTATAATTAGGTTCCATTTAGCTAAAAACTATTCGAGATATCCGCTAAAGTTTAAATATTACCGGGCGTTGGCATTATCCAAGATGCCGCAAAAGTCGCACAGTTGGATTTTTACATCTTTTATAATATCACCACATAATGGATAATTCGACACCCTACAACCTACACATGAAATTTTTTTTCCAGAAATGTGTTTTCGAGATAGTTCAATGTTCTGATCTTTTGTGACACATTCTGTATAGTATCTGTCAAAAGTTCCAGAATATCTAAATAACTTCTGAATGGTTCAATATATAGAATTGAAATTTATGGTCATAACAATGTGATCATAAAATCCATCATTTAATCTTGAAAATAAAGAAACAGGGGTCGGAAAAGTTTAAATGGCAGACTTTTGAGACGAAACTCGGGGTGACCGAAGTTTCTGATTTTTTTTCGCATAGTTATGATCATTTAGATCACTTGGTCGTTAAATACCGCAGAAATGACGAACCGTGGGATCTTAATTATTTGTACCTGTACTTCGCATGTGTGCACTCTGCACACTTTCACATGTATTTCCCTCCACTCAGGAAGGCGTGTCCACGCGAAATCATATCTTTCTCACGTTCTTGCCGTGGGTCTTCGCCGTGGGCCCTCACTACCGCACAATCTCAGTAATCATGTTTAAATAGTTATAATTTTCCGGGGAAAAAGAACGTAAAGACTTCGATTGCTTCGCGTTGTTCTTATCTTGAAAGCTCTTTCAAAGGAGTCCTCATTCGATCCCAAATTCAATTTAAGTTTTTCTAACACTCCCCTCCCTCTTCTTCGCCTTCCAGGGGTGTTGAAGTGAATGTTTTCGAGGTTAAATAATAAATTTTATAATTCTATTGTATCTCTATAAACTTCTTATATCTTATCGAACCATTGAAAAATTATTTAGGTGTCGCGAGATTTTTGACACTAAATATATATACATATGTATACATCATTATTTTTCAAAATAATTACATAATATAAACATTTGCATGCTTTTGGGATTTTTTTACTATACTCATTACATATACCTTGGCTTACGCGCATGATAAGTTATTTTGAATTGAACGTGTGAATGAAAAATACTGATTTCCATATCACATTATAGTTTTTTTTTGATCGAAATCTTTTTTGACCAAAATCATTTTTTTATTACAGTTTATTTTATTTATAAACTAGGGGTTTGAGAAGTAATGAAAAGTTTTATCGCATAGGGGTAGAATGGACTAAACTGAGAAGAAAAGTCCTCTACCATTTTACAATTTTCACAATAATTAACGAAATATTAATTTATAAAAATATTCAAATTCGTCCGGCCCACCGCCAAATGTAAACGCGCGACTGGATATGACCGGCGAGGCGCGCCACGCGCGTTCGCCGTCGCTACGCACGCATTGTTTCTAATAAACAGCAATGGACATTGTCTAGCGACGACCATTGCCGCTTGGACCATAGCCGCGCTTACATTTGGCGACGGGCCGGGTGAATTTGGATATTTTTATAAATTAATATCTCATTAATTATTGTGAAAATCGTAAAATGGTAGAGGACATTTTTTCTCAGTTTAGTTCATTCTCCCTATGCGACAAAACTTTTCATTACTTCTCAAACACCCTGTATATATTCCGATAAATGAAGTAAAAAATCTTTTAAAAGGAATAATTACTGATTATTTCATATAACTTTGTTATATATTTTTGAGAATATTATTTTCTTTATATGTATGTGTATATATTTTATATATATAAATTGATAAATTATTTTTAAACAAATCATGTGAAACGTATTACAATAGGTGCATTTAGTACGATGACCGCTCATTATGCGCTCAGTGAGCGAAGTCATACCGAATGCACGCATTATGATATAAATTGTTTTTGCTTTTTAAGGCAGTACTTAGAATTAGTTGCTCATTTTATGCTGATTCCCGAAGTGACGTCCACTGTTCCCGCACTACCGCTCGTTGCTCGACAGTCGAACTGCCGATCACGCGGCTATTTAGTGAAAAGTATGCTGGTAGCATACCTTTATTTTTTTTTTAGAAAAAATTGTAAAAAATTTCTTTTGAACATAATTTTTGTAAATAAAATCTTCTATTATTTACAAAAATTATGTAAAAGAAAAATTTTTTACAAGTTTTTCCTAAAGGTACGCTATCAGCATATTTTTTCATTGAAAGACGCTCCTGAGGCATAACGCCAGCCGCGTAATCGGCGACTCGACCATCGAGCGGCGAACGATAGTGGGGGGGACAATGGACGTCGCTTCGGAAATTGGTCCGAAATGAGTAATCAATTCCGAGCAATGTTTTAAGGCTTCTGAGGGTGTGTTCCGATATAGACTGTTAGTACTGGCAATAACAAAAAATCATTCCATTATTAATGCGCACAGCGACAGCATCTAGTAACGTTATAAATGGTAGCTATATTGCCACTGCGACTACTGCAGTTTTCGAGGTGAAGCAGTTACAGTAGAAATATGGCATCGAACATTGCATCAAGATCAAATAGTATCAGGCATGGCAAAAATATCCGCATCAACTACTGAAATAGTATAAATATTATAACAAGAAATAGTATAACAAATGAAAAATACACTTTTCGTATGAAATTCCAAGATAGCTAGTTTTCATCTATTTTTAGGATTTTTATAAATCCGAAACAAGTCACATTTTCACAATTAAGTATATAATAAGGAAATGGCACGCAACAGAAAATTTCGTTGTCAAAACATCACTTTTCATGCCTATTAGTTGAGTCTTTTATCTTGGCGAGGCGCTGTAATACACACACACACACACACACACACACACACACACAAAAAAGCACGAGCCCATATTCCTGTGCTCACTTTCGAGCCGAAGACGAACACACGGACATGAGTTCGTGCTTATGTGTGAGAATACCGGTTTCATTAGGCCGCCGACTAAAATTCGGTGTCGCCACCATCAACGTGGAGTTCTTGACTGAGTACTCAGAAGCCTTAAAAATACTTAAATGCAAATTATTTAATAAGATTGTATATAAGTAGAGATTTTATTTAGATATATCATTAAATCGTAAAATAATTTAAGGTATAAATTTATTTATTTATAATTTATTTATTATGTTTGATTCGAGTCTAGTTTTGAGATACTGAAAGCATTCTTTAGCTTTCTTGAACAATTTTATTCAATTATGTAAGAATAATTATTATGTTTATCACGAATATATATTGTTAATCTATACTATATTTGTTACACACGCACACTCATATGTATATGAATACATATATGTATGTTAGATATGTGCTTAGCATTTTGTGTAATACGAACACCTTGTTGCCTTACCACTGCCACTTCCTGTGATATGTTTCGTTTTTTAACCAAAAAATTGCATGTCTATTTTCTTATTTGTTTTGTACTTTTGTTTGATGTCTCAATGAGAATTATTTTCTGGTAATACATAGAATATCACATGCATCGCCAAGGATAATTTTTATATAATTTTTTTTTCATTCATTTGTATATACGTGAGCGTATGTGAACCTCGTGTATCTAGTACAATGCATCATCAGTTCAAAATCTGTTTACAGCTCTCCAGGAAATAGGTAAGCCGTGATGAATGATGAATGCAACAGTTGTAAAGTATCATAAGTAGTCCTGTGTATTTTCTTCCTTTTTATGTTAATGTCCAATTTAAGTATACATTGTAAGGTCATCGAAAATTAATCTTTTCTAATTAATCTAATTTATAGAAACATTTTTTTTATAATTTACTTTTTCAAATATTTTTTAAATTGTATAACGTATTCGTATTTTTCCTTCGTTTTTAGAAACATTTAATCTAAATGCCTATAAAATTTAAAAGATTAGAAATGATAAGATTATGCGTATATAAATTACATTTTATTTCTGATAGAATTATTTTTTATATTTGTTAATTAATATTTTATAATATCTCGTATTTAATTTTTTTTTATAGAATTATTTTACATTTCAGTAACATTTTATCTGGGATAATGTGAAATTTTTGAATGGCCTTGCAATTTTCTATCTCAGGAAATGTGATGGTGGCAGGGTAATCATTACGCAGTTTTGTATGATATTTGTATATACTGAGTGTTTTTATAATTTTCTTCTTTTTTGTTGAAATCATATTTTCTACATAAATATTTTATTCTCGATATATGATTAAATTTATTTTTGTTTTTCTTTCTCTTTTATTTCTATTGTATATTGGCATTTTCCAAATTATCTTTTCCCGGCATGCATTCTTATAATATTGAAATAGTATTATATTATATCTCAGTAAGTTGTCAATTGGATATCGTGGCTAAATTTGGGTCTATTTGTAATGTGTGTTTTTATAGATTATGATTACGACTATTACGGTTATGGGGATTATCGAGGTGGCTACAGTGATCCCTATTACGATGACTATTATCGATATGAAGATTACTATTTCGATTATGCGCCGCCTCCGCCGCCTGCCAGAGGGAGAGGCAGGCAGCCTCAACCGGTGGGTCGCCTTTTTAATGGTTCTAAAAAGTCGTTTTCGTTCCTGAAATCATTATTATTTTTTTTTTTATACTAGCAGTAGTTTGACTGTGGCACAGTGTTCGCGGATTCTCCTAATATATTTCTTATTTCTCTCCAATTTTTCATCCAGATCAACATCTGTTACATATCTTTTCTTTCTGAGCGTGTAAATTAACGCTAACTAATTAGGTATGCGCTATTTTTACTATAATCATTATTAACTCACAGGAAGACATCTTAATATAATCCTGATTTTATAATGTTAAATGCACATCCACAGTATAGTATTTATCTGAGCTAGAAAACTTTTAATGAATCCAATGTGTGTGTGTGAGAGAAAAGGGAAGGTGAGATGGGTAAAGAGAACAGGAAATAGTGCTGTTAAGAACGTACTATAATTGGTATTATATTTATATAAACTCTACATGAATCTATACTGTACTAACATTAAAGCTTCGATACCACTAAAATTAGACCTTATAATCCGAACACATTGCCACTTTCAAATTGCTTGCAAATCATATCTGAGCCATGGTAGACCCATTCTAAATTTCAACCAAAATACAGCCGGGAAAAGCAATTTAAATTAAAAAACATAAAGAGAATAAAGAGAAAAGGGAAAAACATGCGGATTAAAGAACGGAAACTATATTTGAAGATAAATATTCATATTTATATGAATCCTCTCAAGGAAGAAGATGGCACATTTTACAGTGTTGCAGGATCCCTTAACACTATTCCACCTTCATTATTATTCTAGCGCAGCTTCAGGAGAATTCCAGATGTAGGCAGAAAGCAGTGTACAGGACTTTTTGTATATCGTCGTCGTTCTTTATATACATATTACAGTCTCCATGTATGAGTAATTTATTTTTGTATTTTTTTTTTTCGTAGAGCGACGTTGCGTCTCGTGGCTCGGATATGATGTTACACTTTTTCTATGTCAAGTTGCAGGGTTATCCAAACAAAAGGGAGCATATGGGCACCCTGCGCGAAAAAATTTACTTTGTTTTATTTTTATTATGTTTTTATATTGCGATCAACTTTTTCTCTTGGCAGTGCCTTGCTATTGCGATAACACATAACATGCGCACTCAGGTTTCTTATATATATTATTTGATGTTACTATATTCCCCGTGCTATATGATGTGTATATCGTACAGTACGATGTAGTTAGCCTCGTCTCTTTCGGGGAGAGATAGATAAATGAAAATCTTTTTTAAATTGTTTTCGCATTATCTTCAGCCTTTTTCTAACATTAATTTTGCATTATTTTTAACGTAATCTCGATTATATTCGATGATTCCGTTTGCCTCCTGAGGAAGTATATTAATATATTCCAATTTCTTGGTACCTATAAATCACATTTATTATTTTCATTTTGCTGCATCCGCACGATTCAATATTTCACGTATTATGTTTCTTTTACACTTCATTTTCCATTTTTTTCTTTCACAAATTTTTGCCGTCAGATTGTCGTTGTATATATCTTCGCTGTAAGTAGAATTATCGAATCTCTTACTTATTATAAAAAAAAAAGACACAAATATAATTTCTTCGTAGTAGAAAAAGTTAATTTAAAAATACAGATAAGGATATAGAACAAAGTGGAGTTTGTTTTTTCATGATTTCAGATTAAACATTTTTTTCTATATCAGTTCTGTACTATTAAACGTAACTAACTTATATAAATAATGTTGTATGCATCTTTAATTGAGTTTCTTTTAGGAAAAAAGCTTTAGGAAAAATGCATGCGCTATATATATAGTGTCGGGTAATAACTGAATTACCTCTTGTAGACAGTAAAGTGGATTACATACACACACAGAGAGAGAGGGACGGGGGGGGGGGAAGGATAGAACAACCCTCTATCTGCTGTAATAATGATTAAAAAATTAATTATTGTCGAACTTTCAAAAGGATAGAAAAATTTTCTATTTAATTTAACCCGTTTGTTATCAGACACTCTGTGTATATAGTGCATACATAATTTATCGACTAGTAGTTTCTTCAAATATTCACTTATATTCACAAATATTTTTTCAAATTTTGCAAAAGGTAATATGATTATCATCACTCTGTATATCCGATATATGTAACTATGCAATATATACATATATCGCTTTGGCTTTCAAGAAATGAATTAATTGAGTATATCAATTTAATTTTTATTAAGCAGGAGAAAAAGTTTGTCGCAAATTATAAACAGCAGTATTGGAACTAAGGAATGATAAACGTCATTCAAACTTTTTAAATCAGTAATCTATTTACAAATAATTTATCGTATATGTGTCACGTGACGATTAGTAATAACTTTATTAATAATATTTTATTACTTGTACACTGAATTATGCGTAGGTATGATAAAGACCAACGGAGATAGATGATGGAATAGCGAGGATTCGTCCCCCGTATATAGCACCAGTGAACATGTTTTGCAGTTCTCGCTTTAGCCTTCCACCGTCCTTACATCCATGTATATAAAACCATAGCTTACGCTTAAATCATATTTGTTTTAACGCTTAACAATGCGCCGCTTATTTATATAATACGACTTTTGGTTGAATTTTGTTTTAGCTGCCAGTGCAATAGCTTGTGTCGCTTAAAAGTTCCTACGCCAACCAATCAGTTCGCTTTTCGCTTTACTACATTGGATAACTCTGCTAACTCCTACTGCTGTATGTAAAAACGTGGTTAGTAAAGATTTGGTTATAGGTGATTTACTTCTTCTGCCACGTTCTCTCATGTTTCTTTTTTCCTTCTTTCTCATTCTGTCGCTGTTTCTCCTTCTCCATAACTTTCTTATTTCCCCTTCTCTCTGTTATTCACTCGTCTTTTTTTCATGCTATGTCGTCATGGATGTATACGTATATATAAAAGCCTTGTATGTACGTCTACGCTCCAAATATATGCATTACGAATAAAATGCACATATATGTATTGGAAAAGCTCTTGATCATTCAGCGATATATCGACCAATTCTAATGTATTTTATTACTATTACTACTACATTTTTAAGGGTCTACTGCGTGATATATACTGTACATAACTAAATTATATATAAAGCAGAAGAGATACATAAAAGTATTAAGAAAAAGAAAAGAAAGTTAAATGAAATGTAATGTTTAATGCAAATTATTGTACAATTATGGGGTAACAATTTGGGTATGTTATTTGGGTAGGCTGGTCGTGGCCGTGGAGTAGTGCCACGTGGCCGAATCGGTGGCCCGCAAGCCCGTGGGCCAGTCAGGGGGGGACGCAACCCCGCAGCTTCAGGGGCCCGTGGGGTCCAGCGGCTGGCCGCTCGTGGGGGGGTCCGCGCCAAGGGAAGTTTACCAGGTGAGGATGGTCTGTATCTCCACAATAAATCGTCTTTTACACTGTTTACATTTAATTCTTAATTACATAGATCATATTCACCACACATGTCATATACATACATACCCAAGCACGCGCACATTTTCGTGAATTATTATCTTTGTGAGAGTTCGTACTAATACCGTTGTATTGGTATAATGTGAAAGTTTTAATGATGAAGTTACTAAGACATTATTTTTAAAAATTAAAAAAAATATATGTTAATAATTTAGTAGGAAATAATTAATCACTTAAATGTTAGGAAGCGAGAAAGACAGAGATTTAGAACTTTGCATTATTTTATTATTTTAATTCGATTTTGCAGATTAATACAAGCTATAAGCTTTTAATTTAAAATAATATAAATTATTTATAACGTTGTGAAACATAATAGTTTTAGACGTAATTTACTTTTAATATCACAACAAATAAGCTGATATCGTTTGATTATTGTGGCGTTACACTATGTAACAAAAAATTACTTTCACGAATATCAGAATAAGACTAGTTATTTTTATATTTACTAAAATTTTGTTAATTTGTAAATTTTATCGAGCGTTATTAAAATTGTTATTTTTATATAGTTTTTGAATGCTGCAATTCAATCCGAATTTCAAATTTTTTCATAACGTTCAACACAATTTTGAAAAATTTGCAATAAAGTTGCAAAAAGAGCTATTTTCACATATTTTGTTTCATTTTAACTGTGATATCAGGCGTGTTGGAGAAGTTTTATTGCGATCAAAATTAAATATGTTATTAGAACTTTTAGAGTCCTAAAAAGCATTTTTTAATATCTGCTGTGAATAATAAAATTTATAGAATATAGGATCTATTGCGGAAAAGCTGTGGATAGGATTAACGGTTTATTTAGATGCCTGGATAACAAGTTTGTTTGTAAGTTGCTATCAATTCTTTTGAGACTGCTTCCCTTAAGTTGCCTTCAATATTGTAGAAAGCAGCACTTGATTTTGCTTATTGGATTGGATCGATTTTATTACCAAATATTAACAATAAGCAATTTGTGAGCAATTTGATGATAATAGTTTCTCTATTTCAAACGATTTTCCGATTGTATAATAGGTTGCCGGAAATCGCAGGGCACGATGAAAATAATTTCCACCTAAAATCTTAATCCAATAAATTGGTAATATTCTAGCTGCATTTTAAAGAAAATTATTGCCACAAAAAGGCTTATTCAATACTGTTCTGCACCGATATATTATATAAATGTTTTATTTATTCAGAATTAAACAACTAAAAAAATCGTATTATACTTTTATCTTGGAGTCCTTGGCACACTTAAAGAAAATTATTTCTTTAGATACAACTAGAGAATCTTTTAATATTATTTACTTAATATTATTTAATAATAATTTTAAATGAACAACAAGAATAAGATGATACTCGGGGAAAGCTGGGTGATACTTCCGAACGCAGTTTAAGAATAGCTGAAATGCTAGTGGTACATTTGTAACGTTGAAGTGTGTAGTGTATGTACACGAGATACGAAAAGTATCTTCAAAAGAAAGTGTCTCCCGCAAGTTCATCTTCATTATATATTCATTATTATCTCTTGTATTTTGTACATCGTGCTATTATAAGAAAAAATACTTATGATATAAAAAAAGTTTCTTATTATTAGTATGTAATATCGTTTTTATTTATTAATATGAAATATCATTTTCATTTAGAAATTAGTACTTCAAATTTAGAAATACTACACGATCCAGAGTTAAAGAGTGTAATACAATGTTCCTAGACGATCCGGATATTATAGTTTTCACATGCGTGGCGTAGAGTCGCAGAGATTGGCTACCTGGTAAAAAATTTCTTATACGTAATTAAACAAAACTATATCAAGGACACGATAGTGTCTCACGGTATGTGAACGCGAGGCGAAATCGCACCGTGTTCTTTACATGAGCTGATGAATTGCGAGCGTTCGAAATTATCGGATCTGTCAATAAACGGAAACGGTTGCATAAATTTAGTAACTTTTGGGTAGTCTCAAGCGTCAACTTCGGTCTAAATTACAATTCAGTCTGAAATTATAATAAATGTGTTTTTATTTTCTACGTACCTTTTGAACGGAGATATCGCGATACGAAATTGGAAATGTCAAAATTTCACATCAAGATACGTTATCATAGCCCTAAAAAATGTTGTCCGTTTGACATTTTAAACGGTAGATGGCATTCGTTTGTCATTATTTACTAGAGTTACTATAGTAACTAACTATTTACCTATGGACTGTGTTCCAAAATTGAGTTCCAGTATAGTTTACGTCACGAGCACTATAGGTTTTCAGTACTGGCAGTCAATTTTGGAACACACCCAAAATTTTTCGTTAGTATTATATTGATTTATCGATAGAGAGTTAGATCGTTGTCATTTGTAGCAACGCTTCATGAAAATATGTTGTTATAGTATATAAGAAAATCAACCAAACTATAGTAAAAATGTACAAATTAGGGCCTTAAAGGAGTCAATGCGGTAAATGGAGCGGATATTTGTAGCTTTAGGTGAGCTTTGAATAAGGCTACCCCAATTTTCGGCACTAAATAACTATCTTAAAAATTACAAAATTATGTGGAAAAATCTCTAATCATGTGAAAAATTCTTTTATTTATATATAATTTTACATAATTTTTATATTTTACAAGAGAGGAAACGGATCCAATTATGATGGAATTAGACAAGATGTTGTATTCCCGAAAATACGCAGTAATTTCGTCTCTAAATGCAACTGACACAAATGTAATTTTTAATAATTTGATTTTATTTTTCCGAGTTATATATTTTACATATCGTATTAAATAACTTAATTGTATACACAATATAGAGAAGTATTTTTAAAGAAGTATTAAAAAATATACATTTAGAAGCTATCATTTAGGAGCGATTTTTGATTAGTCACTCATACGAAGGGATATATTAATATTATACATATATTATATATACGTAAATTTATAAGATGCTTAACACTAAAAAATGCGTGATAGCACAACAAATTCCTCCTTTTAAAAAAATGTTTAAAAAAAAAAGCGCCAAGTGTGTGTGCTCCTTTCAGAAAAAACCGTTACATAAAAATTATTATATGCATCTATATGTGTGCTATTCCAAACCTATTTTCCAAATTATCAAAGTAACAATTTTTTTGAAATATGTGGAATTTTTAAATTGCGCCAATTATAAACAGAAAAACAAATATTTTGTTGAAACACAAATGTTGTATAACTACTTTTAAAATAAAACTTAAGTAATTCTACTTTTAATTCTTAAAAAATTATTTAAAATATATAAAAATGTTTAATATAAAAACACTTGGCGCTGCTAGCAAATTTGGTTTGATCCAGCGGCGCCATGGTTTTTTCTGAAAGGGGCATGCATATTTGGCGCGTTTGTTTTACATTTTTTAAAAAGATGAATTTGTTGTTATACAACCTACAGGATGTATACAGGATGTCCCAGAATAACCACAAAGTATCTTGCGTGCTGATAAAATGGACTCTCTCTAAATTGGGTTGAAAAGTCCTTTTATTTAATTTTAATTGTAATCAAATTTCTTCAACGTATTACATGTCACAGTTATAAATGACAAAATATGTAGAAATAGTTTTTTTTTACAACTTTAACTGCAAATTCTCAAAATTTTGGATTGGAGCAATTTGAAGAACAGTTTTGGATTTAGCGTTCAAAAACTTACAGAAAATAATTATCTCGTTTTAGTGTTGTTTCTTGTCAAATATTGTTGTTATTGTAATATATCTCGCCGCGATAATTCTCGCAAATGTATATACATAAAGTTTTTACTTATATATATTTATACAACTATATTGTTGTAATAGTAATAATTACAATTTTATACAGGTTTTGCATAAATATTCCATATAAATCTGCTATAAATAGTATTTCATCGCTAGACAGCTCTTATTATATATTCGCTTTTGCTTTTTAGTAAATTTTTGCTCTTCTCCAATACGTTGTTTCGATGTACGTATTTAAAAAAATATTCGAAAAAAAAATTATTTTCTGGATAATTTTTTTTCATTGAAGGTAGAAACTTCTTCCAATATACATCTATTTCTTTCCTGTATTTATATACAAAAATATATTTTGATGTTGAAATATATGTAACGTTATATGTTTATAAAACGTTTATCTCCTCACTTCCAAAATGCAAATGTAACCATTAAGTACAATTAATTTTGAAAAAACAATTGACATAATGCATCTAGAATAATTTCTTATTTACCAATCTTATAATTATTAAATTTTATTCGAGAAGATATTTAGCTACAATTTGATTTCGTTTTTACAGATTAGTGACAGATATTTTAAATCATCTGAGGTTTTCGAAGTGCATAAATAATAATTAGTTTGTCAAATGATCACATTGTACATATGTCATGAATTGTTTACATAATATTCATCTTACAGTAAATCATCCAACCCTTCTCACCAAGGTATCCAAGTCCCATCCATTTGATAGTAATAAAGCTGTAGGTCAGTGAATTTCTTTATGCTTATATCACATACTAAATTGAAAGGCTTATAATTCTTGCAATTTTGTAAAGTCAATGGAATCAATCAAATTGATTAACTTCACTCCTGCTATTTTATGCGGTTATATATCACATGTCCGTACATATTCACATTTTATGAACACATTACATGTATTAACACAAAAACTCTTGAAATTTTCTTCATCTTCCTTTGCGTAACATTTTACAAACGCCATGCACAATGGTAAAAAGAAGTGCATTAATTTAATATTAATGCCTTAAACTTTAGGCGAGTTCAAGTCGACAAAGCAACTAGAGTGCCTATTATGGAACATTTTGGAATGAATTTCAATCGAAATTATTTTGTTTTTCCTAAAAAACACAATAGAAATCTAGGAAATAATTGAATAATTTCCCTCGGAATCCATTCTGACTTGATCCATGATAGGTGCCTTAGGTCTGCTTGCCGAGCAAAATTAATCATGATTGGTTAGATCCATAAGTAAGAACCAATCATGCTCATTCGCTCGGCAAGCATGTCTAGCTGCTTTATCATGAATTCGCCCTTTCTTTAACATAATTTATCAATCTTATCATCTTAATATCTTACAGCAGGTAAACGAAAATTTGACGGGGGTCACCAGAACCAGGGGGAATCTAAGCGTCGCTTCCAGAGCAATTGGGGAAACCAGCCCCTTGCCCAACAACCACTGGGCAATGCATATGGATTGGCGAGTGTAAATGGTGGCAGTGGTGGTGGTGGCGGTGACATAGCTTTTGGAGGTAGAGCCGGCACACTCGGCGGTGTTTCCGGCGATGACCACGAATGGTATCAAGACTCTTACCAGTCGTGGAGCTAACTTCTGCAATTCTGTGAGTGATAAAAAAATATGCACGAACAAATGCATGATAAACGAAGTGAGAAACAAAAAACATAAAACATAAGAGAAAAACATAAAATCAGACTGACGAAATGTAGAGAAAAAAAGAGAGAGTGAGAAAAAGAGAGGGGGAGGGGAACTCGAGATGAAGGAACGGAAAGAGATCATCCATTTGTATTATTATCGCTCTTAATCGAATTCAAGTAATTGTAAATGTTTTTCATATTAATGATACGCAGCAACTGTATTCTGCGCCACCACCATCGCCCACTGTTGTTGTGATTATGTACAGTGATGTGCCACTGAGACTAATTATTATCGGAGTGTGACCACCCACCCACCCCGTACTATTATTATTATTATGATACTAATACTAATCTAAGTACCACTACTGCATTGTCACATTGTTTACTGCCAAGTGATGAAGATCAGCGATGTTGACATAGAGATTGTGATGGCTTGTATTAGTTAAGAGAACTCATAGAAGCCTGCGGTTTATTACGCGATGACTAGATGTTTTGAATCTATGTGACGAAGCATGTGTGTTAGATAGGACGAAATAAATAGCATGAGGGAGAAAAACGGAGAAGTTACAAACGAGAGATAGAAATTGAAAAGATGAAAGTTTAACTTTGAAGAAATAGAAAATGTTACGGTCGTGTAGACAAGCAGAAGATGCAGGGCGAGAATGCGATGTTTAGTAAATATGCGAGAGAGAATGATTGTGTGTGTGTGAAATAGAGAAAGAGATAGGGAGGGAGAGGGCGAGATAGAGAGAGAGCGAGCGAGCGAGAGAGAGAGAGAGAGAGAGAGAGAGAGAGAGAGAGAGAGAGAGAGAGAGAGAGAGAGAGAGAGAGAGAGA